CAATCTTATGTCTGATACATATATACATAGAGTGGTGTTAATTTCCACATTACTCATATACATACATTTATGATACCACAGGAGTTATAGAATGGAATCATACATTAAGAGACAGCAAACATGGTCAGCAGGTTCAAACTTCTTTTAGTAGAAGCGTTTTCTTTTAAGAGGGACTTTCCTTTAAGGTGCAGATCAAAGTATAATGTGAGTTATTAACTTGCAGGAGAGCAAGGGATGTAAATCTCATTTCTCCTGCAGTGACCAATGCAAGGACCAATCCATGAAACTGCTCATTAGCTGCCCATAACACCATCAATACAGAACCAATGAAGAAAAATGTTGTGGTTAAAGAACTGTAAAAATCAGTGATGAAGCAACGGAATCCTGCATCTCACTCTGAGCTTAGAAGGGCATTTGATTATTAGGGATTTAATTTCATTTTACTACCAGACTTAAATGCAACTGTAAGAAGGTAAATTCCAAACCCACGCATCATTTGACACACAGACTTTTAGCCAGGCCTGCTAGAAATGCTCCAGTATTTCATTTTCATCTAAATTTGTCAGTAATAATGGACCCCCAAAGTGCTAACACTCAAACCTGAAATATTCTTCATATAATCATGCAGTGCCAAGGAAAGGCCAAGAATTCCTGCTGGATCAGTGCCTGAAAACAGCACCGTAGGAAAAGTGCCATCCTCCTGAATCACTACCACAACTCAGTCTGGCAACCATGCTCCTCTAGAAGGGGCTCTGAGCAAGCCTCGTGCTCAGGGTGACCCATGGCACACAGCAAAATGGAAGCTGCAAAAAGAAGCTGAAGCACCTTCCATACATTTATGATAACTATAATTCTGACCCAATTACTTGCTTCATTTTCTCCTCGCCTGCAAGCAGCTTTGCACAGTCATCTTCTGGCAGTGAACCCAAGAGGGCTCCTCTGCACCAGGACCTCTCTCTGGAGGTGATGTCACCGAAGCAAACCTTTGGGGTTTAATAGATTATGCATCAAGCATAAACCTTTCTTTTCCACCTCAACACGTGTGTAGCGGGGGACGTGCCAGGCCTGCGCTGCCAGGGGCAGGGTCACTCCCGCCGCTGTGTGACCCTCCCGGGGCAGGTCGCGGTGCCCGTCCCGTGCTCCCCGCGGGCGGGACGCGGCCCCGCACTCCTGGCGCCCGCCCTCTCCTGACACAGCAGCCTGGCAGCGCAGGGGTGCGGGGAAAGGGGGCCCGGCGGAGAGGCCACAGCGAGCCGCCCAACCCGCCCCGACCGCGGGGACGAAGAGAATCGCCCTGAGCGGCACGGCTGGGCCGGGCTGGGCTGCAGCCCTGCAGAGCCGATACCAGGGGCAGCCGCTGCACTTCGGGGCGGGTGCACTCAGTCCTGCCCGGGATGAAGGCGCAAGGCTGGGGGCCGCGGCAGGACCGGCCGGAGCTGCCGTTCACAGCCCCCGGGAGGACCGGCCGGCATCCCCCCGGTACTCCTGCGGGAGCCGAGGGGCCGCGGCTGCGGCCGGACCCCGCCTGCCCCTCCAAGCGCCCCGGCCCGTGCCGGGTCCTGTCAGAGCGCTGCGGCCCCGCGCCCCCGCGGTGCCGAGTCCTCGCAGTCTCGGCTCCGCCGCCCTACCCGGACAGGCAGAGCCCACTCCCGCCCAGGCCGCGCTCCTCCCCCACCACCGCCCGCAAGGCCCTCGGCGCCGGGGCGGCCCCGGGAGGCGCAAAAGCAGCGCTGCCCCGCGTACCTGTGTGCGGGCCGGGCGGGCGGCGGCGGCGCCGCTCCCCCGCTCCCCGTGTCGGTGGGGCAGCGGTCAGGCAGCCGCCATGTTGGTGGCCCCCGGGCCGGCACGTGGGGACGCGGCGCCTCCTCCTACCCACAATGCTCTCCCGGCCGCCGCCGCCGCCAGGGGGCGATAGCGCCGGCCCGAGGCTCAAAAAAAACAATGCTGGCAGCGGTGGGATTCGAACCCACGCCCCCGAAGAGACTGGAGCCTTAATCCAGCGCCTTAGACCGCTCGGCCACGCTACCACCGCGGTATGTCACCTCTTCGGCGACGGTTTTGGTCCAGACCAATTTTTTTCCCTTCTTTCCCACCCCTCTTCATCCCCAGCGACCGCTCTGCCCACACACCCCTTCTACCCGAAAAATAAAATGCGGGGGGTTCCTTTTCAGCCCGTTTCCAAGCAGCGGCACTTGCAGCGGCGCGATGCACCCAGGGACGGACGGGCGGGAGCAGCTGTGCCGGAGCTCTCCGCGCCGCGCCCGCTGCCACGTGGATGCCACGGAGCAGCACAGCCGCCTGCGCGGTACGTGTGGCATCGCCCGGGCACCCCCTCTGAAAACCTAAAAAAAGTTCTAAAATTCTAATTTTCCGTTGCAAAGCCACAGCTCACTGAATTTACAAAGTCAAAAGTCAGCAGTTTATGGCTGGGGGTTTGTTTTTTTAGCACAGGGATCAGTACGGCAGTACTCAGTACACTTGGACAAACGGATGGTAGCACACCTTAGCTGCTGGAGTTCCATGAATGCGTCCCTGGGTGTCTCTGGCCACATTTTGCCTGAAAGTTTGGTGAGTTTTCTTAAATAATTAATGCTATTTTCACCACTTAATTACAACCGAAGGGTTGTATTTTGAGAAAGTTTCAGCTTCTCTATGGTAAGGCCACAAAGCCTTAATGCAGCTTAATTCTGTTCTTGTGGCAGTTAACTTAACTTATATAGGATAGAGAAAATAAACCTGCTGGAGCCCTGCTGACAGCATCATTCAACCCTTTTCCCTGGCACCTCCTACAGCCTGTCCCTGCAGCACACAGCAGTGCCAGCTCTCTTTCCAGGGAGCTGCTGAACATGGAATCCAGGAATAGTTTGATTGGGGTTGAAAGTGTCTAAAAAAAGTGGGATAGTCCAACCCTCTGCACTGAGCAGGGACATCTTGAACCAGATCAGGTAGCTCAGAGCCGTGTCTAACCTGACCTTGAATGTTTATAGGGATAAGGCATCCACTTCCTCCCAGGGCAACCTGTGCCAGCTGTTTATCACTCTCATTGTGAGAGGCTGCAGCAGTGTTGTCTTGCTAAAAATTTCATTCACTGCCTACAAGTACTGAGGAATAACAGCAACACATGTAAATATGAAGAAACTCCTCTAGTGCTGCTGCAGTTTCACACCCTCAGTTTAGTGCCTTTTCAGGATATGGGGTTTTTCAAGAAGAGAGGGAGCTGATTGCAGAGCAGCAGGAGAGGTTCAGGGAGGAGAGAAGGTAGGCAGGCCTGAATTGGCTTCACACATCAAACCACCTGTAACCTGCTCGGGCAGAAAAGTTTAGGCAGAGTCAGTTTTAGCAGTCTCCAAGCATATGTATGTGTGTGTGTGTGTGTGTGCAGGAGGCTGCATGGAACACTCATTACAAACTGTTCCTTACTGTGTGGGCTGCTCAGTCCCACAGGTTGTTTTGCCCAGGCAGTGCAAGGTACCAACACCCTCCTGAAAAGTGCTTTTCTGCCCTGTCACAGCTGAGCTCAGCCTCTGTCCCTGAAATGTTTCTGTGCCCGGCCACAGGGACATTTCTCCTGAGCACCAAAGGAAGCCTGTGTACCCAAGATTATTCACATCAGCCATGTGTAATACAGACAGGGGCTAAGAGCACAGGTTGTCCCTTGGGGGTGGCAGTTGGGTGACCAGTTTTTTCATCTCGCCTGTGCAACATCAGTTAAAATGATTTTAAAAAATTAAAAAAGAATTAACGTAGAGGAGAACTCAAACTATAACACAAACGATAACCTGCCTCATTACATTGTTTTCCTGGCACAGGATAGCCAGAGAATAGCAAGGACCCAACACTCATATCTAAGGGCCAGGCCCAAAGCCCTGAGCTGTCCCCACCCAGGAGTCAGGTCCATCAGCAGGAGCAACTGAGAGATATCCCTGAACTTAAACCTGAAAATATCCTGACTCACCCCTGGCAGCAGTGCCCTGCATCCATCCTGAGAGCTTCAAATGAAATTCTGCCTGTCCAAATTCAGATGAGGAGTTCTGATTTGACCCATTGTAACTACACCTGGCTCTGTCAGCACTCATTCTACTCTGAGTGAAATTATATCTGTGGGGAAGAGAGTGAGATTCAAATTAGTCCCACAGACCAGGAATTCAGAAACAGGCAATGTACTTATTTACACTTTAAAAACTGTAAGAGTTTGCTGTCTCCATGGTTTCTGAAGAATGCTATTCTTACTTTGTTACACTTGCCAAACACTCCATCTCTGTGACAGCAGCTATATCTAAAAACTACACAGGCTATAAAGCTAGAGCAGTGCCAAATTTCACCATTTTTCATCTTAGTGATTCTTCAGTGCAGAGGCCCAGCTGGTGCTTTTTTGTTAGGAAATTCTGCTACTTCACAGTGCCTTGCTAGAGGATAACTTCACATTGTTTAAACTACACAGGTATAAGAAGTTCCACCTGTCTAAATAAAGCCATAAAAAAGCAACAAGAGCTCCCTTTTTAACAGTTTGAAAGGGCCTGTATCAAACAGATTATTCTGGCACAGAAAGGGAAATAAATCATAGCAAGCTGACAGTGTATCATTAGATGCTGTATCCCACCTCAAATCACAGAGCCCAGGAGTTTCCAGCCCATTCTCAGGACTAAACAAAAGCTAAAGGCATAGAGAAGCCTCTGTAGCATCCTGCAAATGAGCCCTCCTCTCCTCATATTTTATCCTTCATTGGTTACAGACACTACATGTGTAATCAAATGCAAATCAGAGAGCACATCAACCATTTTGTTTTCTGGAGGAAAACAGATTTTGATGCTCCACATCTAATAATTTCCTCCTGGTTAGTTACTTCTGACTGTTGAAAGGGAATGAAATCAGGAATGGAATAATACAATCAACAGAGAGGATTTCTGGAAGCTTGCAATAATAGCATTGATTTTTGGCAATTCTAAAGAAAAAAAAAACAACCAAAAGCAAACATCCACAAGCAATGAGTATAACAATACTGAGAAAAGTGTCAAAAAGAAGAATTTTATTGACTATCCAGAATGAACTCAGACAAAGTGAATGAGAGGACTAAGTGATGCAGGCAAACAGTATTTGCTTGTCTGTCATACAAAGGCTTCCATCTCACTGTCCTTACCCAGGCAGCATTCCCACTGACATCTGGAAACATTGAACCCAGGTAAGTTCTGGCAGGCTGAGTCTCAGATTTATTTTCACATTTTTAAAAATACAGATTTTTATTTATTCATTGTGAATAGATTAAAAATACAGCATAAAGCAATATCATTGCAAAAGTCTTTAAAATATACAGTATTCCCTTCAAAAGAATGTCACAGAGTAAGTTGCAAATATTTCTGTAAACAATTTTCATTTTCATATTATTGACAGTCCCATTTATTGAATGGCCAAATCATCTAATACACCTTCGGACACAAGGTAGTCTTCATCACCAAAAAGCAGTATTTGCAAACAAAGAATTAATAACCATAATAATTTTTGCACTGAATTGTGTGCACATTTACATACCAGATCTACACAGAGCTGTCAGCAACTTCAACAACTATTGAATTTAGCAAATTAAACTACACCAAAAAGTGTCAATAATTACACTCTACATTCTTTGCATGCACATTTTGGACAGGCACTTTCAATCTCCTCCCTACATGGTTAGTGGTGCTGTCACATATGCTTCCTTCTCAAGGAAAATCTCAAAAGATTTGGCATCAACACCTTATGAAGGAAACAAATCTTTTTCTCTGATTTTGCTATAGTCCCTACACTGTATAGGTTCTGCACAAAATAGATTATTCAGCTGTCTTCAGACGTGAGTGGCTTCACCTTTCATTAACAGCTGATACTTTCATGCTATGAATGGAAATAGCAAAAAAAGCCACATCCCAGAGAGGCTTTAGGCATCTAAAACAGAAACTTTGGATACTGAAAACATTCATCTGAATTGCAGTCCTCTGGTTCTATTTCAGCATGTTAGGTACAAAAAATATTAGGTCCAAAAATCTGGTCATTCTAGTACCTCACTACCTAAGACCAACTGAGATGGAGAAATGAGACATTTCTCCATTAACAGGTGGGGAGCTTTGCCCTCACTCTCAAAACAAAACAAAAATGAAAAAGGTCGTGGGCACTACTTTCCCACGCCTCTGCAACCTACAGCAAAAAGATGTTGCCATGTGTTGCAAGGCTGCTCACAGCTACAACTGCCTGGTGGTTACAGCACCAGCCTGAAGTACAATATCCAAGGGTAACCTTCCCTTCCCTCCTAGAAAGGATTAAAATCCTCCCTTAACCACCAGGAGTTCACCTCTTTCAGACAGTGGCAGTTGTTAGTGATATCACTCTTGGATACTGTCTAAACAGCAATTCAAGATCCACTTGCCATAAAAAAGAGCAAATGGAAGCACAGTTTGATTCCAGTGACAGGCACTTGCACAGGAAAAGAGAGAACTGATTTCTGTTCTCTGCATTTTACAAGAAGTTAATATTCCTTGGCTATGCACGCAAGAAATCCTAATCAATCCTGCATCATCTCTCAGCCTGCTTAGCTTTACACCTGCTTTTAAGAGCTTGGCTGAAGTGGTGAGCATTACAGCACATCAATTTACACCTCAGGGGACTGCAAGGCCAAGGAGGCAGAAGCTTCCATCTTAAATTTCCTGCAAAATGACTGTTAACCACAACCAAGGAATAGGAACAGCTTCTGTACTATCCATACAGATGGCACAGCAGCTTTGGAGTAAAAGATTGGATTTGAAGAAATTTATCTCTGTGCAATGATAATTCAACCACCACCAGGTATTTGTCCTCCCCTCACTGGTTAGGATTAGGCAAAGAGGACACAAATTCAAGTGTTTGGGGGTAATACTGTTTTCCCTTTCTAATCAGAAACTCTTCTCTAAATGGCATTTGCAGGTAAAATACCATTTTAAAATAGACTTAAACCATATAAATTGTCTTATGTACATAGAAATAGGTGAATCAACATCTCCTAACCTCTTCAAACATCCATCTGGAGATGGTGGAAAATGTGGCCTTGTTTTAAGTGAGATGATTTAGTGTCACTGAAATTTGAGATGCCACTGTAAAACTAACTTCAAATTACCTGTATATTACAAATCTTGCTACTTTATGTCATTTGACAAATATAAGATCAGTAGAATTTTATACACCTAAACTTTTATATGGTGCAAAATGTGAAAATGAGAGAGGTAGCTGGATGCCTCACCTCATCAGGAACATGAATGTTTTTCTAATGGTATAATATGCAATGCTGGTAATGAATAGAACATTCCAGTCTGAATATCCTCACTGCCAATCTGAATCATCTTCCCTACCCCTCTCCAAACTAAGGATTCCATCTGAAATTCATTTGAGAATAAAGTGTCCAACAAGGTCAGCAAATTAGAATGGGACTACTTATCAATATCAGTAGCTGCATCCATAAACTGAAAATTTATGTTCATGTGCAAATTTGGTGAGATACACCAAAAATGATGAAGAAATGCTGAGAATTTAGGAAGATGTTTTTCTGTATGTGGGGAGGAGAAGAAAAATGTAAACATACTGATCATTTGCTATGTAAAAAACAGGACATTAAAGGCTAAATAATAAAGCCTCATTTTCTTTTGTCAAAAAAACTAGGCCCCTCAGTTCTAACAGTAAAAAAAGTACAAAAGGTCCAAGTGTGTGTGTATTACAGCTTTAAAACACAAACAGAAGTATACTAGGGCACCCTACATACTACTTACATTTAGATTTCTACCCTCGAAAAAATTATAAAACTAAAATACGAAGAAAAAACAACCTGGTAACATCACATAAAAATACATCCTTTTAGCTGCAAATGCAGCAAAGTGTATAAAAAATTTATATACAAGAACTGCTTAATTTCAGAGTTATTCTTCCATCATTGCCCAAGCCTCTTCTGCTTTTTGGTAGTACTGATTTGCCAGTCTGCCCTTCATGGCCTCCATGGCTGCTTCTGCTGCTTCTGTGTAAAGCTCACCTAGAGAGGAAACAGCATCAGTTATGTTGACAGAGTAAAGAAAGAGCATGGCTTCAGCCTGAAGCAAATAAAGGACAAAGGGAGGAGAAATTGAGTTCAAACTGCAGGCCGGATGTATGGGTGTGTTTTAACAGTGCCAGAGTTACATCAGCTGGGAATATGGCCTCAATTCTTCAAGCTCAAAGTTACACAACTGCCTGCTGATGGCTCCCCAATGTATTTGGAAGGACTGGGAACAGGACCAGCCTGTAGGAGCCCCCTGACAAACATGTAGCATGTAGGTTACACAGCAACTAAGAGAATGTTGTGTAGGGCCTTGGGAGTCATGGGTGTAACTCAAACTGCAAGCAGCAACCTGCAGCTCAGGGGAGTGACCCAAAAGAGCAACCTCAGAGGGAGTGAAGGCTGCCTAGCAGTGACTCAGTGTGCCACAGACTGGACCTGGCACCACCCACAACTCTGCTCCTGCCAAGATCTCTTCTTTCACTGTTACCAGCCTTGTTACACCCAGCATCATTAAATTTGAAGGTATTGACCCTCTCTATGTTTTGCAACAGCTGAAGCAAGAAGTCTATTTTTGGGGTACATGCTGGGGGAGAAGGGAAGAAAAAGTAAGATCATAGATAAGAGAAACAAAACGAGGCCTCACCTGATCTCTGTGGATTCTTCTCCAGGTTGAACCCTCCCATCATTAACATCTCTGCTTCCCTGGCCAGGAGCAGATACCGAGGCTCATCCTGAGTGCCATCATATTCACCTCCCTCATCATAGTCGGTCATGTTCAGTGCAGCGTTGTACCAGTGCAATGCCTCCTTCCAATCCTGGGCTCTGAAGTCAAAAATAACTTTTGAAGATGGTTCCCTTAGGAAACAAATGTACTTTGTATTGGAGATTCAGCATCCAATTTTGTAGTGGCTTCTCAGAGCCTTGATGCTCTCCAAGAAAGCAAATGGTCTCATGGAGACTCATTAACTGCACTGCAGCATTAGGTCACTAAAGCAAAATGAGGCTGGGGTCACTTTATGCAGGAATTACAGGAGAAAGTATCAGACTGAAGTGTTTTGCTGAACTCCAGAATGTGAGCTTCATTACCAGTTGTATGGTTTTGGTCTGGCATTTATTTATGTGAAAGTAACCAATTTGGAAAAAAACCTGAAATTGCAGAGTCTTGTTTCATAAATACTTTAAAATCAGTTATTTCAATTACATTCAATTTCATAACTTCAATTAAAAGTTTAATGTTATTTGACAATGGGAAATTTAAAGAATATCACTCTTTGTTATTTACATGAGTTTTCTGTTTTGCCCAAGACATGCTAAAATACAAAAGCAGAGAAATCATTGTCCCAGCCTTGCCTCAGTGAAGTACCACCAAGTTAACTTACTCAGCCATGCACAGTACCTGTCTGCACCAAGATTTACACCTGTGTCATATGCTCTTGCTACCAGAATCATGGAAGGCCGGTCTCCAGCTTCTGCTGCTCTCAGTAAGTAATTAAATCCTTTATTTCTGTTCTCCTTTGTATCCTAGTAAAGGAAACAAAACCTTTAAAATGCATGTTTCTAAAACCATCCCTTCATCCCTCTACCATTAAATGAAGTTTCTCAAAGTCAGCAAGTATTTACTATGTTTGAGAAATTGGCACACCTACAAGAAACAAAGCAGTTGAACAGTAAAGGTGGCTTCAAAAGCTTCCCAAAGGCATGCAGTATTTTTCTGGCAAAACCAGAAAGAGGAAGCATTTTTTGGTGTTTTGTCCAAATCCTTAATTACAAAGTAATCTATTTTCTCTGAAGAGGCTACTGAACACCTAACTCTGGTTTTTGTTTCATCACCATTTCCTGCTGTTCTTATGTTGTTTTTACAATGAACCACAATTCTTTTTGGCATTTTCCATACCTGAAGGGTGACCTCGGAAAGAATGTGATGTGGCAGCTGAGAGCACATGAGGCCCAACCCAACGATGGCTTCCAGCTCCCCGCAGTCTGCAGCCTGCTCCAGGTGGAACAGGGCTGACTCCTGATCCCATTCCTTGTCCTTCTCACAGAAGCGCCCGGCTTCATGATAGCGAACCATGGCCAGGTGAACCTGGACACAATTGCACACGAGAGACACAGCATGATGGAGGGATCTGACCCTTCAAAACCCCTCTGCTCCTACTTTACCAGGTCTTAGAGGAATGTCCTGGAGTAAGAGGAAGCTCAGGGGAAACTTTAACACTCTCTCCAATTATCTGAAAGGAGGTTCTAGCAAGATGGGGGTCAGCAACTTCTCCCAAGCAGCTGGTGACAGGATGAGAGGACATAGCCTCAAACTGCACCAGGGGACGTTCAGGTTGGACATCAAGAAGAATTTATTCATGGGAAGGGTTGTAAAATTGGAATGGACTGCTCAGGAAGTGGTGGAATCACTGTTCCTGAAGGTGTTTAAGAAACAACTGGACATGGCACTTAGTGTTATGGTCTGGTTGACAAGGTGGTGATTGGTCAGAGGTTGGACTTGATGGTATTAGAGGTCTTTTCCAACCTAAAAGATTCTGTGAAAAATAGGTTTCTTCCCACATCAAAAGGTCTGAGAACAACTAAGGCTCCCAGGATGTTCAGAAATATTTACATCATGTTTTAGAAGTGGGCTTAAGGCCATACATAACCCCAAATTAATTCACATTTGCATTATCTGGAATAGTCTGGAGTAAAGTCAGTCCATGTTACCAGTATTCAGGAGCTCAGCTTTGCCTATGTGCAAGGTATGTGGGTCAGGCACACCACACCCATCCCACTGTATCTTCCCTGTGTGATGCCTCTGGAAAGGCAGATTAACAACAGCAGGGTTCTTCCTAAAGGAGCCCAGATGTTGCAAGGCCAAAAGCAGATGGAATTCACGGGTTCCTGAACTCAGATGTCCCTTATATAACATAGGTAGGTGACAGAAAGGTATAGATGTGTTATTTTCAACTGCATAAATAAATGCAAGCAGGGCAACATCTCTATATAAGTAATAAATATAAGATGTTTCTTGTTGGATAAAACGGTGTCAGCAGACACATCCTACCTTTCCAAGGACTGACTTCCCAATTTTTTTTTCAAGTTCTAGTGCATTGAGCCTCTGAATTTCTTGGGCAACACTGGATGGTCTGTGGATGTGGACTCTGGAAGAGTTGTAAAGATTCCATTTCTCCACACTGATCTGAAATACAAAATATACTATTATTTATATTCAAAATTAAAATTCCCATCCACATGGGTTATCTTCCAGGAATCAAAGCCTCTACTAATATTCTTACTTAGTAGTAAATACTGTATTTTAAAACCCAGATTGCAAAAGTCATGTTAGTAGCTGAATAAGTGGTTATTATTCTTCATTAAAGAAACAGAGTAAACCCCTCTACTTCTAATCTGAACATCATCACTTTGAAGAATCATCTCCAAGTTTTGAATCAGAAGAAGTTACAAAAATAAGCAACTGAATAGTCACACTGCAAGCACTAAAGTTATGAATGCACAAAAAAAAAAATGAAACCCATACTTTTCTGTCCAGAATTTCAGTTCCCAACACTTTAAATGCAGTTTGCATTCTAGAAAAATGACACATAACCATGCAGAAGATGACAGACAGATGCATGCACTGGCATTTCTCAAGAGAAGCAACCCAAATGAAAAAATTTTTTAACGTAATGGATCAGTGGGAAACAGTAGCTGAAAACAATCCTATCACAATTAAGGCCTCTGCAGGTACACAGAGAAAACACAGCAGCAAAGGTTACTGGCATAGAACTTGAGTCTGCTAAAGCTGTTTCAATTTTATGAAACAGGAATATATAATAATTAAAATTAAATTCTGAAAATTGTATCTAAACAAATTATTAATTGTTGTCAAAGCTCTGTTTTTTCTTTCGTTTCACAGCAGTTATTTGTTTAGGCTTATACCCAAGACCAATTATCACAGAAGTTATATTTTGTAACAGAATACAAGACCTGGTCTTTCCTGAGTCAGTTAGGTGACAGCAGCTCTCTTCACTGTGTATCTGTTTCAAACATTGCATGTTTTTAAGAAATCACACAACTACATATGGGATAGAATTCCAAAAGTAAGGTGCAGTGAGGAAATATAATTTAGTTAGGCAGAAAAGAAATCCACAGAGCTGTAATTTTTTTAAAGTGAGAAACCCATGCATAATCACTAATGTATGACAGAGGTCAACTACAGAGGTAACAATTTGTTTCACAGTACTTCTCCAACAAGAAAACAAACACAAAACATAAATGGAAATAAGAGTGGTAAGTTGATATTAATAAACATTTTCGGTAGCTGAAAAGGAAGGGAAACCAACATCTGGTTCAGTGATGTGGTTAGGTGGCAGATGAGTGGAACAAAGGACAAGCAGAGCAGCAAACTCAGTCTGTGAACATTTCTGCTTTATTTACCCTTGCAGAGCTTCCCAAACTGTCTTCATCAGACTCCTGCCTCCGGTTGTTGTTTGAATGGCCCTACGTTAATGTAAAGATTTGCATCATTCAATTTGCAGGAACTGATGTGTGACAGTTATGCCTTTAGACCATTCCTACCCTGCAGAATCAATAGTGACAACGACCAAAACTGTTTCCATTGGATTCTTTTCTTTCGGTGATATCACAATATATAAAGAAACATACCAAAATTATAAAGAACTTGGCACACATGGGCTTTAATCCTGTAAGCTGGAGATGCCATGACAAATACCTTGCCAAAGGAGGTGACAAAAGGAGTGGTATCTCTGGAAGCAGTATTCTCTTTCCTGTCTTCTAATTAATTATCTTGTTAAGATCTCCAGGTCAAAAAGCATTTATTTAAAAAAAATTATTTTGGAGGAGTAACCCACTAACCCCCCAGGAATTCTAAAGTTCCATATTATTATCTAACAACAGTAAGTTCTGTAATATTTCAAGCCATACAAAGTAGAGAGGCTAAACGGGTCTGAAAGCAGATCATATTCATGGATTCCACATGACAAGAAGATGGCTACACCTCCTAAATGCAGTATGTAATACTTTAAAAGCCCACACAATAACATCGAATTAAATACAATATTTGAAATTAAGCTACTAATTACAAATCATCTTTTTCCTGTAAGAGTGTCATTACCAATATGAATAAGTAACTTTGCAACATGGGGGAACTTCTTTATTTCCTCTGTTTTCAAAGTATAGATTAGGATCAGATCTAGACCAGGAAGGATAAAAAAGAAGGTTCTTCTACAAAAAACAATACACGTATGAACTGACCAAACTCTGCTATGCCAGTCAGGTTCTTACCCTCTCTCTATGATCCAAATCTTCTGTCTCACTTCTCTTTTCACTGGGATATCCACTGTCTCCACCATTTTCAAAATCCTACAGAAGTCAAGCACAGAACAGAATTAGATTATAGTTTGTAAGGACCTCAGCTTGACATTTCTCACAGAGCAGTTTGCTCTTTCAATGAAAATTACTGGATGGTTATACTGGATAAAAATAACTGTGCTACCTCTGTCAAAAGGAGCAGGACTTAATGATACATGAAGTAGTCTAAGATTGTCTTCTCCCTTATACACATTGAAACAAATCAAGGACTTGCATATTTTATCAAATCAAGAATCCACTAAATATAGTTTTCAGCTTCAGTGATAAACCAATAACTGACAACCCCTGGCACTAAGGCCCAGCACTGAAAAATGCCCATTGCAAACTTCTTGCATCTCCTCAGGCAAGGCTCTCTAACATTCCATGGTACCATTATTTGCAGAGACCTAATCCATAGGGATTCTTTAGCTCTAATACCACAGCATCTGGGACAGCATCCAAGACACAATATGCAGGCAGGGGAACAGGCACATGCTTTAAGCACCTGTTAAAATACACCAGATACAAATAAGTATCTGGTGGCAAAATAAAGAATACTAAAATATTAAAATAAAACATTCTTCCTTTACTACAGACAGCAAACGCACAGAGGTAACATGATCTGCAACAATAAAAATAGGCAGAATATCTTTATGTGCTTCTACTGAACAAAACCTTTGGGCAGTCCTATAAAGACATAATTCATTAGGCAATTCCAACCTCATTTTTTGTTGGAAAGACACTCACCCTTTTGTTGTCAAGCTGATCCAAGTTATCTACTTCACTGAACACAGGCCAATCTAGGAGAAAATATATTTGCTGTTTGTAAGGATAACATGCTTGAGGAAAAAGCTCTAGATACCATCATTTTATTGCTGTTTTATTCACAGAAGTATCCATGCATTAATTGCCTACATAGAAATACTTTCAGTTTTATTTCTGTTCAAAGAGGAGCACTAGAAACAACTGTTCTGGGTTAAATCAATGCTGTTGTGCTTAAAATAAAAGTAAGAAAAATACAAAGTAAGACAAGTCCAATGTTAGGGAACTCCCCCAGAGGTGATGTAGGAGGCTCACTCACTAAGCATGTCCACCTTGTGGCTGTGAGGGGTTGCAGAGGATGGAGAGCAGGGCAGGGAGTCGAATGCCACATCACTCATGCTTTCATCCCCGGAGTTTTCAGACAGGCGGAAGAGCAGCGGGGGCCGACTCCCGGACACCGTCCTCACCCGGCTGCTGCCGCATTTCTCCTCTGTGCCACGGAGGATTGTTTGAGCAGATTCCTTGGCAAATCAACAAGAAAGTTCTGTCAATAATCCTGTTGTGTATTCTAAACGTGCTATGCAAGCCAAAGTGAATGCTTATTAGGAGTCCTCTATAAATATACACGTGTATACAGAAGTATTTGCTTTGGTAAATTCTACACTGCAACAAAGTATCAAGCCCTGACATTTTTACTGACAGAATTTTGTTTAGGACTGAGTTTCATTCCAAGTGTTACACCAGGTCCCATTCCCACCAAAATCTGCTGAAACTGAGATCAATTTGCAACAAGTGTCAAACCAGGTTTGTGAGAGCCAAAACTCATACATGATTTCAACATTCAAAGATCAACTTGGTCTCAAATATACACTGTGTTAAAAGGTTCCCTGTTAATTAAAGCTACAGCTTAATTACACTTTTTCATCAAACACTTACAAGCAATTTTTTATTATAATCCAAGGCATCTTTCTCTTTGGATGAAAGATCAAATGGTGCAAGCCCCATGCTTTTGCAGATGTTGTTGCAGAAATGAGAATGAAAGAACAAGGCCATACCTCGAACACCTAAGGCATTAAAAAAAAGTTAAGAAAGGGTCATATTTTATATTACTATTTACTTATGAAAAGCTGAAAGTCCCAAAGCTTTTCCTAAAAAAAGTCAAGAGAGAGAAAATACTTTGTAACACACAGCCTAAACCATTCCATTTCAACACCTGTAAGAGCTTTTCACTCTCTCTGCATGATGGAGTGAAAGAAGTGTGAAAAATCTTGAAAAGCTAGTATGAACAAGATATAACAAAAACCTCATCCAACTGCATCACTGAGAAACGTGCCTCGATTTGATCCTGCTTACAAAACTTGCAGTGTCCTACAAACAACTTCATACACAGACACTTGGAACTTCAAAAATACACAGTGCCTATCTCTGCATTCGGCTATATCCATTCCTGCAATGTGGCAAGGAAATCAAAGGCCACGATTATTGTTCTTGCAATGTAGAAACTACTTAATTACATTACTTATTTAGGAGTAGGCCAGGAGACATGAGCCAAGATCACCTCTCATTTTAAGATTGTCCTTATATGACAGCTGACCTGTACAGAGCTCCTTACAATAGGACTTCCCCAGACCCTCAGAAATGTGCCAGCTCACCCAGTGCAGTGGCTACTCAGCAGAGCTGGGGAAAAAAAGAGAAGCACCCTTAGTGAAACAGAATCATTGATTTTACCTAGGTTGCCATCTCCAAAATCTGTACCACTCTCTGTATGGATCTGAGGATCTGTGTAAAGATCTCCAACTCCCTGGATATCAACAACAATGAGCTGGTGTCCTGAGCGCTCAAAGGTGAAGTGACTGAAGGCCTGGAAAGAACCACAGAAGATGTCTGAGAACACTCTCCCTTCATCTACTGAAAACAGCAACACATACTCCCCTCTTATAAATGGGAAAAGACGTCTGATAACTCTATCAGTGAAATACAACAGGTATAAACATCATGATGAAAGCAGCAAGAGAAACTAGAAGGATGTAGTATCCTGTCCAACCTGCTCCAACTCACAGAGAGGCTAAAAAAAAGGAGGGTGAAAAGCAGCAGGGAGCACAGGCAGGGGAAAGGAGATTGCTTAATTCCTCATTTTTGTACTAAGAGATTGTTTTCCACTCTAGTCTTCATCTTAGGGGGTGGGGAGCTGGCTGGCAGAGAGAAAAACTCTAAACCTAGTGCAGAATAACTTCTGTATAAACATTCTGGCTGTGCCTGTGAACCTGCAAGCTCTGTTTCTCTGGGACACTGCTTACTCCTGCCAACAAGCATTAGCTCTGTCACAGTTTGGAAAAAAAAACCCCATAAATAAATGTGAGCATTCCCACAAATTCTTCTTCTCTTTTGATTGATCCCCCTGAGCAACTGCTCTGTGTCTACATTTGTGTATCAGATAATGCGTGCTCTTGAAAAAACACATTTCAAGAGTCAGGTATAAAAAGCCCTTCTCTTTAGAATAAAGCTGAGAAATTAGGAATCTTCTGGGAAGGCCTCCAAAAAGCACTGCCAGTCCTGGAGGAGGTGACTGGTGGTGATAGACAAACATTTTAACTGCAGCAAATACCAGGGAACATTTCGTTCCCAACCTGCGAAAGCACAGCACTGATTCAGTGCTCAAACAGCCCAGAACATAAACTCTCTGCTTATATTAAGCCTCATGACAAATACCTTAAAAATAGTGGAAAAAATGTAAAGAATAAAACTCTCAAGGCCCAGTAAAATACCTCTTTACGTTGACGACTTTGCATTTTTCAATAGTATTTCAAATTTATTTTACAAGATTCAAGAATCACTTGAAATCTGTACTTGGTATTTCTATATGCAATCTCAGATTCAGCAATTCAGAGGCTGCAGCTGGAAAAACCTACATTTTTATATGCAAATGGACTAGATTTATTTACATGAATTGGATACCAGCCACCTCTTGTGTATTACGTGAGGCACCAAAAGACTATTCAGTACATAGTGCATGAGAGATCTCTCTCACTGCCTCAATTTGAAGAAAGTTTGAAATACTTTGATGCCTGCAGTTATAATTAGAGTCAAAGGGCTTAAGGTTTCCAAAGAGTATTAACCCTGTTCAACTCAACTGTAATCAACTGAAATCCAATAAAGAAGCACTCAGTGCTTGAAAGAGCAGGCCCCAAGTAAGGGGCAGACAAACTGCAAATAGAGAAATTAATTTGGCATTGTACTGCAGAGCCTGCAGTTTCCTTTCTTGGCAGTAATGCAAGACCTTTGGAGAGAGCCCAGAAATTCCCTGCAGCAGACTCTATGGAAAGCATTCAACAAAGCCTCACTTGAGGAGTTAGACGAATGTTGTCGTCTCGCACAAATCCAGAATTTGAGTTGTATTTGATGTATTTGCCCTCAATGTAATGTTCCAGATGAAAGAGAGGCTTTCCAGGCCTGTTCTTCATTTCGATAATACAGGTCTGCACTATATCCACCTGGGGAGGGAAAGAAGGTAAACAGTGACTAACAGAACACTGTCTGCAGATCAAAGTCTGTGTGAATCCTCCAGCTGTGAAAACTTTCCCAATGCAAGAATCTGAACAATTGCAAAGATTTTTCTGTTTAACAAGGGGATGAGGGAAGAGTCATGTGTTTCTTGAGTTATTGGAGGAATTCCATAAATTAAAAGCAGTCACTTCAAAACAGTTCATTTCTACAACGAATCTCTCTGAAAATAATTCTTAGCAAGTGCTGGTTTTCTATTTTATCTTGTGGGTATCTTAAGAGTACTCTGCAAAGAGCCTGCACCCAGAGAGCAAAACATACAGTCACTACTGCACAGCTCAAAGAAATGTGTTTTCAGAGAAGGGCTGAAGGTATCTACTGTTCAGGTATCTCTGTATCCTGCCTCACCTTCTCTCTCTGTCCCACACACATTCTTAAAGCAGAAACCATCACAACTCTCACTCTACTTCTATATTTTCTCCAACATGCATTTAAAACCTCTAGATTTGTAGATTTCTCTCCACATGCTTTACTGTAGACCTCATCTTGCATTTATGAGCCAGGTAGTTATTAATTAACCCTCATATGGGAGGCAATGCAAATATTCCACATATCAAAACCACTCATTTTGGCCATTAAAACTGCTAAGGCTTCCAGCAGGTTTCCAGGTCTTCTCAAAAATCAATGCTAATTACATGTTTGGATGAGTGTGCAAGACTTAAGCATCTACCTTCCTGGAGCACTTCTTGCTGAGACTGCTGCTGGCAATAAATTTTGTAACATCTCTGTTTATCACAAAAGCAGCTGGGCACACATCAAAGAGAACAATACAAACATAGTTTTATTTTTGTTTTCAGTCAACCACTGAGGACAGTCAGACATTCACAAACACACAGCCCCTAGTCCTGGAAATATAAAGCAATTTCTGTATTTACTCCACTCAAAATCAGCTATCATTTAACAGAAAACACAGAAGGGCAAAATAATCTATCCAAGCATTTAAATGTGATGGAATGTGAACAAGTAATTCCTGCTAAATTATGTCTGAAAACTAACCCAATAGAAGGACAATATTGCATTTTTGCTTAGTCAGATCTATGAATGCACCTGTTTTGGTGGCTTGTGCCGGTTGTACTCTTCTCCCCAGAGTTTTGCTTCCATCTGCAGTCGAACATCCTCAAAATAAACATCCCTGCTTACACTCTCTATGTATTGCTTGGCAACATAATTATAGGCACCTTTCCAGTTCTGACTGTGTAAGAAGTTGGACAGCTTTTTTCTGAAAGACAAATCAATCATTGGTGAAAGGAAACCCAAGGATTTTAATTCAATCTTTCCCATTTCCTTGCCTGCATGGACAGAGTCAGGCTCCAAGATGAGCACTACCCACAGTCATTTACCAGATATTCTACCTGAAATGTGCAGCACAGGAAGAGGACAAGGGAAAATGAAACATCCCATGGGAATGGTGAGGATGTGTCAAACTGTTTGGTTTAGCTGCAGCTACTTGTGCTCTGAACTTTGTCCTTTTCTCAATTCCTTTCCCTTCCCATTACTCTCAAATCTGGAGTATGAAGGGTTGGTGCCTGGTCAACAACCTGTTCTAATGTCAACAATTATTTTATGCAGAAATTAGCAGGGAGTGGCCTTTCAAACATGAACTGAGAAACCTCTCCAGGAATAAATGCAATCTGCTGCTTCTCAACATGTTGCAGTCACTACTCAGTAACCCACACACTCCCAGAAGGAAAACTGCAGCTGACAGTTCTCATGATGCAGCTTTTCCCTTTTGTTGTTGTGCAAATCTTTAATCCACAGATCCTTTCAAAGCGGGGGGGCTGGGGCAGGGGGGTGGTAGTGTGTAGCACATGAAAACTTTGATAAGAAAGGATCTGTTGGCTGCCAACAAATGCATTAAGCGGGTGCTTTAATTAGTAGCAGCACTCAAACTCTCAACCTTTCCTCCTCCTTCCTTTTCCTCTCCCTGTCAAGACCTTGGTGCAGAGTTCTTGGTACAGGGGACACTCTACAGGCAAAGCAACTTCTTGCTGCCTGTACTCCTGCAGGGATGGGCACACAGCCACTGCAATAGAGGCCTTGGAAAGAATGAACAAGGAAATGAGGTAAGAATTTTAGCCAGACCCCAAACTTTCCCAGTTCTTGAAGGAACACATTCCTCTTCATAAAACAAGCCAGCTCATGTTTTCTAAAGTCAATATCCTCACATTGGTTCACTGGGCTATGGACAGCTAATATTGTCACTGTCTTAACTAAACACTTACAGAGACACAAAAATCTAGGAGAGAGCTCCAGATGGGAAATATCACTGTACCACTGACACATATGGGAAACCCAGCAGTAGGCAGCTGGCATTCAAGTCATGCTTTTTTAGTACCAGAGGTTAACACAAAACTGCTGAAAAGTTTCTGTTTATGGCATTACTCAAAAAGAATTGTGTAGTGGGGAGTTTGGTAAACAACAAGAACTAGAGGAACGTCAGCAGGCTGAGATTTGTTGCTTCTTAGGCTTCACTCACTACTGTATCCAGCTGGCTTTGCAGGAACAGAGCCACCAGCATGAACTGATACTGAAACAATGCTGAACTGGAGCACTGAGGGGTTACTTGTCTTCCTTTCTGCTCAAGTTCAAAACATCGTATTTCCATCTTTCAGGAGTGTCTATCTTTCCAAAGCTGAAACCACACATGAAGTGCAATTTCTCTGGATTCCACATATGGGAAGAAGGGAGAATGTTTTTAAACACATACACAAGTACATTTTCCAGGAAACATTTGTTTCCAGAGCTTGCAAGGGGTGGGTTAATCTCTCAGCACACACCAATTTATAGCTGGAGGTTGATCCTCACAATAACTTTCGATAACACTCCCCAGGGAAGGAGAAGCTCCTCCTCTGTCTTCCCCCACACTTTATCCTTCTGGAAAGCACAACTGTTAGTGCTCAAGTTCTGCCTTCTTTCTTTCTCTTTTCTCTGCCTAACTGTAGGCCTCAAGTTGGTCTCCAGGCTACACACACCTATGACCTCATATCAAATTTGAAAATATTTTAGCACACAGGGAACACAGAAATTAAGTGGCTGTTACTATACTTTCATGAATATTTTGCCTCCCAGGGATGGCTGAAGTAGAACATTCAGAGAATATTCTCCTTTCTGAACCCCACCCCCTGCAGATGGAGTCACACAAACAGGGATAAACCCCTCAGCAAAACCTTTTAGAAAGGAGTCGAGCTTTACACAATTTTCACTACGTCTAAGTGAAATTCCAGTCACCACAGAAAAAAATACTGCAGGGAGGCCAACGAAGATGAAGTGGGCAGATACTCACGTTCTGAAACACTCCCGCATTGCTCCACGACCGAAAGGCTGGGGAAAAGAAAAAAACAAAAACCCAGCATTGCCATTTCCATGAAGTTCATTTCTAACCAATAAGAAACACAAACATGACTTCTCCTTTATACCATGCAGAAAGCAGTTTTCACACAGGCTGTATAAAAACATTTCCTCAAGGAAAAGTGAAAACCCACTGGTAGTGTAAGCAGGTATCTAGGGAAAGGCATTTGGATAAGCTCCCTCCACCAACATCCCATGAAGAAGAAATGGTTGGTATGTCTATTAAATATGCTATTTGAATTCTCTCCCCAGCAGGGAGTCAGCTCTGTGTGGCTGCCTAAAGAAGCTTCATAGACTTCATGTTCTTTGCATTTAGGCTTCTGTGTAGGATGTGCCAAAAAGATCATCATCTCCCCAGATGCCAGATACTCAGCCAGCAGCACAGAGCAAGGCAACCCCAACACACAACCAACCCCAGGACTTAACTGGGAAATGACAGAGCCTTCTACCCTCACATACAGAAAATTCAGTTGGCTTTCATTCTAAGAACAGAAATTATTTGGGAGCATACAAAAAAGTAGAACTACTGCCAGGCAGGGAAATTATGCCAGAAGGAAATGGGAGGGGTGACATGGAAGGGAAGCCACTGGGAATGGAACAAATGCCTCATGTTGTTGACAGAAAAGGTCCAACTCCATTTTCTACTCTATTCTGGAGAGAAGGATGCAAAGAAAAAGAGACAGGAGAAAAGAATTACACTGAGACTTCAAAATTTCCATAAAGAAAACATCTTGCTGCCACTATTCAGGAACAGAAAGGAAACTACAAACTTGCTGTTTGTAAACATGAAGGACAGTGTGATCTTACTTGAGAAGCCATCTTGATAAGGACTTCATCTTCAACCCAGTCCCCAGTAACTGCATTGTACCTGCAAAATCAGGAGATAAGTCTCAGAAAAATACAAAGGGAACCCAAATCCTCCCATTTCCAGCACCTATCTGTAACTGACTCTGCAAAGTGCTGCTGCCACTCCCACATAAAAGCTTCCAGTCTTCCCACAACACTCTGGCCCTCCTCATTTTGGGCAGGCAAGCAGAAACACACATAGCTCTTTGAAGAGACACTGAACTCTCCTGTCAATGAGCAGATTCAAAAGCAGAATCTGAACTTCTGTAACACTGCAAATCAGGCTTTATCTGCTTTGAAGTTAAACCTCCTCTGTGATGCCTGGGCAGCACAGTGGAGGGCAGAAAGGGCCTCCCCAAGGGAGGAGGACACTGGACAGGTTGTCTCCCCCAATCCTGAGTTTGCATAAGCCTGGTTCTGGCTGGGTATTGGCCTTGGGGCTGTGGAGAATGTGAGCAGCACCAGCTGTGAGAAGCAGTGGGGCCAGGAACTGCACTGCACTGAGGGAGGAGCAAGTCCCTGCACAAGCCAAAGAGCATGACTGTGGTTTCTCTCCATTCCAACACAGTGAAAGCAAAATTGAGAACCACAGCAGCTGAGTCATCAGCACATGGTTGTTTCTAGCCTGGTTCCCCCATCCTGCACAGAGTAATTCATGCATGCAGACACCCCATATTCTCCCTTATATATTATGTATCACTCCAGTTTGCAGCAAATAAAGAGGTAAAAATGGGAGTATCAGAGACATTTCTTTTTAGCAGGATATTGAGTAGCCCTAAAGCAAAATTATCACTTATTTGTATTTTAAAATATGCAAACTATTTCAAGACTGTGTGGCTGACCAGGGACAGATGCAGTCTATGGGAAAGAAGAGCAGCACTGCATGACTGGTATGGCATTGGAAGCAAGGCCTCCCCAAACACTGATGCTAAGTGGTGATTCACTGGCCTCTAACCCCTAACCCTTCCTCCCAGAAACCTGTGTCAGCAAAGTAAATATTTTGGCAAAGCTTATGTTAAAAGTACTGAAAGCAGTACAGGGCCAAACTCCCTTCTAGCACGTAGACCACACTGAGCTATTCTGGGCTGTATAAGGATTTAAATTCCATGCACATGTAACAACACTGCATAGACTAGCAACACTGAAACTGCTATTTTGGGCAGTGGAGGGCTATGTTGTTTTCTTTCCCGAACTATTTAAACTAAGTATGCTGCCTCTTCGTTGGGATTCATTTCCTTATTACATTTATGGCATTAATAAATCAACCAGAAAATAGTTTACAGCCTTGTTTCCTGTCTACAGAGTGAAAGTCCTAGATACTGCTTAGGTGGGAGAGAAAGTATGACAGTGGTTTGCTGAAAGGTTTTTTTGCTGATGTGCAGAATTTACATATTTGTGGGAGACTGAGTTAAGACTCACTCACTTTGGGCATTATGAAAGTTCTTCAGCCAGATATTCTGCACTACACAAACTCAGCCCTTGCACAAACCAGCAGTCCTATTTAATGGCAGCATCCAAAGCAGGCAGACCCACAGACCTGTAACGAGTGGCATGTTCTGTCTCAACGTCCTCCAGATGAAATTCTGCCCAGGGATCAGGCATGTGCTTGGCTTTCTCAATAGCATGTTTCCAGGTTTCCTGAAGAATTTACAGACTGGCACTTAATTTATAATCAGCAGCAGCTCACAAAACCAGCACTTTCTAGAGCACATCAGGATCCTAATGCTATGGAGATGTGCAACTACACAAGCCCCCAAAGCACTACTCAGAGCAGGGACCAGGTAGTACCAAAGACCACTTTGACCTTTTCATAGTTTCAATTATAATGAAACCCAGCTCAGATATATAAAGCACAGATTTCAGTTCAATTTGCACCACTGTAAATTTACTGAGAATAGAATCTGGCACAGTACAGTATATACCAGCTACAATTTAAAATTAAATTTACAATTTACAGAACATGTAATTTGCAAATCTGTAAATGGCAGTAAGGCACACCCAGATGAAATTAATTCACTTTTTCTGTTTTGATTTTTAGCTTTTCATACATAGCAGCATATGCTGGTTTTGCATGCATAAGAGTAAATATAAAAAAGTCCATTAAAGATACAATTAATATGGATAAATTAAGAAGTTCTGTGAACCCCAGGGTCCCAGACTGTGCTCAGCATGAGAAAGAAGAAATTAGAATGTTGTAAAAATTGATTATTATAACAATTCCAGACAAGTAGCTATTTCAATGTTCACCAAGTCAAGAGTAAAATATCAAAGCAGTTTTCTGGAGTACAAACAGCCTCTCTCTACCAGCCAATTTGGACACTGTACTCTTAACATTTTGTCCTCCCTCTCTTACATTGTATATTTCCAAGAAAACTGGAGATATGATTCTGTGATGTGCTAAATGCCTTCTGCAAAGTGAGCAGGAGAAAAAGCACTCTGCACCCTGCCAATAAAGAAGTATTGAGTTTTGAGATATTATTACTGCCTCTCTGACTGAACTCCAAGTGTGTAGAAACAGTAACTTTTAAGATTTTGGAATTATTTTGGTTTTTATCTTCAGGAATTAAAATCAGCCTTTTTTAATAAAAAGATACGCTATAAATTTGTGTCAGCAATGGCATCAAGGAAGTTTTTGAAGCAGTTAAGCTTTAAATGTTCGTGTTTATTCTGAATTTCAACTTCAACTATGCATACATTGCAAGTAATTTAAATGCTCCCCTTTCTGACAATAATAACACAAAATGAAAAACAATACTACATTAAAGAAAATTACTTCAAAGGACTAGTTGAGAAAGATTTTCTACATGTTTCATTAGAAAATGAAGTTGCCTCAGGTCATGCAATGGCAGCTCATATGGACCTGAGGATTTCCATACTTAAATACCTATGGCAGAAATAAGGAGAGGCAGCAACAAGAACTGCTTGGTTGATCAGCTGTATCAAATCATTCTTGAGTAGATTTTCTCTCCAAAAGGTGATTTGTGTTCATGTTAGATGATAATTTAAATAAGTTAATTACTTCTGCTTGATCTCTTGAGGTGCTTTGTACAAAAGCTGGATCCTAATCTTCAAACAAACACTAGTTGGATTTCCTGGAAATGGTGGTAGCAGTGCAATTTTTCTCCTGCTGGAGGCATATGGCTGCCACACAGTCAAATTTCAGAGTAGAGAACACAGGATGGGTATTATTCCATTTAACAGATACCTCTTTTAGTTTTGACTTGATGACTCTTATATTCTGAGGCAACCAGTCCTCTCAAACAAAAAAATAATGAAGAAAAAAAGTCCATAAAAGGGAAAAAAAAGCCAAAACAAAACCAAAAAATCATAATGCATCTATTAGATATGGTGTTGACATTTTCTTTTTAACCTACCCGACCATGGTCAACCACAGAGCCATGCTTAGAACGATGTTGTGTGTCATTCTAAGGGATCCATGAGACATGAAAGTAGGAAAATACATGTGATAAGACAAATTATTGACAAAGAGTCTTGGTTCTCTTTGTTAGTAAAAAAAACCCAAAACTTTCAGTTAAAAGCCACTCTTCAATTTATATTCCCAATTTCAGTTCATTCTTAGAACACCTGTGAACAAACCTACTGAGGTAAGTTGGTAATTTTTTTAATTGGAAAGTATTTATTAAAAGGGTCTTGCCTATTAACTAGCTAATTAAACATTGCTGAGTCCTGTTTAAAGCAGAGTTAACAGCAACTTCTCTATCTGGCTCTGCCTTTCATTATCAGTGGCCCACACTGCCTTTTTTAGCTTTGAGGTCTGACAAGCAGACTCTGATAGGCCAGGCTGTGGGGTTTAGGATGTCCTCAGCCCTGGCTGGCTGCTTCATCTCTACAGTTTAAACAGGAGATGGAAACTGGCTTGCTCCACATATAGGAGCTACAATTCCAAAGTAGACATTGTGGAGACCAAAACATGGGTACAAACATTCTGCAGAAGCAAAATGACATCTTAAGAAGGATGAAATAATTGCAGTTTCTGGAGTCCTTATCAGTTTCATCTCAGACTATGACTCAGAATTTGCACTGCAGACCCAGAGGCAAGTGTTTAGTACATGTTAAAATGTACACACAAATGAAGACTAAGCACCCTATCAGGTTTTAACTTGCTTAGTTTAGCATACACCAACATCTGTTCCATTTCTACACTAAGCTTTTGCTCCTCACCTTCCTTAGGCATATGTACCTTTTAATGTTTCTATTAACTAGGTTTGCCAAAAATCTTCCTGTAGACAAGCCAGCTTCACTTTCAATGTGTTACTCACTATGTTATCTGACTGAAATAACCCCCAGTACTTTTTCACAATTAAAGCATGCATTAGGCATAACCGAGATTTTAGAGTATCTATTAAATAAATGTTAATATTTATAATAAGAAATGTGTTAATAAAACACATTAAACACAGGAAAATCTAGGAGACATGCCAGTTTAGCACAAACTATGTTTATTTAAAATATCTAAGCTACAGAGTGGATGTCACTTGAGGCTCCATTGTCTGGCCTGGTCTGTGCAAAGGCAGCTGAGTGAAAAAGGACACACTGCCAAGGAAGCACCAGCTACAGCCCCTCTGACCTCCCTGCAATGCTGTAGCTGCTGTTCATCCCAAAAAGGTCAGATACAGATTGTGTACACTGCCAGGAACTATTGCCAGTGTGATGCTTCATGCCCGAGCATGAAACTCAACATGTCGAAAGCTCTCTAAGAAGGAACTATAACATAAAAACTTACCCGTACAATTTCATAATTTACAATTTTATTTGTCCAATAAAAATATCACAGACTAGCAAAATTGATAATAAATTATCTTCTGACAAGCCCCAACTTTTCTTACACCAATTGTATTATCTTTTGAATCTCCCAAACAACATACTGCATTGTAAATGGTTTGATCCTAATGGCAGTGAATTGTTCTGCTGGACTGAGTGAAGGAAGATCTCCCCCTGAACTGAAAGGGACAGCAATTCCATGGCAGTGTCAGACTGTTGGCTTAATGGAATTAACTGCAGGTCTGGAAAAAACAGGTGAGTCTCTTAATTGAAAAGTGTTAGTTACAAGAGATGAAGCAGTTAGAAAATGTCTCATGCCAACTAAGTAAAACCAAAAACTTAATGAAGACTGCCAATACTTACCTTAAAGCTAAAGCTTCTGGGAGAAGAGCTTGAACTGTACTGCTCAGTTTTTGCTAAATTGCTGTAATAATTGTCTACTTTGGTATTGGCAGATTTGTTAGAAACTGGATCATCAGTTATTGGACAGATAAAATAATTGTCTTCATCATCACTATCAGCATCAAGATAATTCCCGGAGTCTGCTGGAGTTGTTCTGGCATTATCAATCCCTTCCATACGAAAAATAAGGTCCTCGTCTGCCATGTTTGCAGGAGGTTGCTTTCACTCCTGCAGGGACTGCAACACCAACTACTCCAATGCACATGCAAACAGGGAGAAGAAACTGGCTGAGAGAGGAAAAAAGGAAAAGGTTGTTATTAAAAGAACAAATAATGCATGACACTGATGTCAGCACAGCAGCAGGAAAGAAATATATTTGCATCTGGCTCTGTAAAATAATCCTCAAGTACCTACACGTAGTTTTGAACACCTCTGCTAGAGCTGCTGAGAAGAAGCATTCTACAGGACTGAGAAGACAGGAGCTTAGTATTATTCTATCCTTGGTTATCTCCTCCTCCAAATGTTTTTATTCTTCTTTATATGAAATGCTGAGTTTCACAACACTAGTCTTAGAAACTTGAAAGACTTTTACCTCGAACACCACAGTCAAACTTTAAAATCTTTTCCAGACAAGTCTTCTCAAGGATATTGTATACAAATGATAAGTCAAATAAATTAGAGAGCATTATAAGAACAACACAGAAAAATTTTCCACCATCCAAAAGATTTAAGTTCACTTTTAGCTCATGTACAGCCAATGGCCCACAGGCTGCTGAAAGTGTAGCATATTGCAGAAAAATGAGGTGGAGGAATGAATAAAGCCCTTAGAAAAGGTGGAAGTTTACACAGATACTCTGGAAATACTGACATGTACAAAATAGAGGATTAGTGAGAATATTCAAAATTTGGTCCTGATGGTGGCTGAGTAATAGGATGTAATTTAAAGGACACTAAGTGTCACATGGTTTAGTTCTTCACCCAACCAGCAAAATCGGGGATTTTCACACAGCTAGTCTAGTAAAACAACCATAAACCAAGGTTTTCAGTTTTGCTTTACAGTTATTCCTCAGCCCTTTGCATTTTCAGTCTTCTTTTTGCATGAAACAGGAAGATGAATACACTCCTGCAGAAGTATTCATAGCTGCAGACCTCACTCCCCAGTTACTGAGAAACTGGTGACCACAGAAACAGTGCCTTAACATGTGGCAGCTTTCACCAGCAACATTATCTTGTTGGTTACTAATCTTCTGACAGGGGCAGCATTCCCACACTTCAGCCAGCAACACAGGTAATTCCAGCACTCCATCAGGCAGCAGCTGCTCTGGAAAAGCACTGCTGGAGGAGGTCTGAGCCAGCTCACCTCACTTAGCACTGGAGCAGCTCTGCAGTGCTCACCTGCTCTTCCAGCAAAGACCACACGGGAGCTGTCGATTCTGGAAGGGGCAGTAGCACATCCCTGGAGGGGGAAGGTGTCCTCAGCTGCCACTGCCATTTTTACTGTGATCATCTTACCAGTGTGCACTGAGTGCTGGAGAACTTCTCCTGTCTGTCACACACACAGCCAGCAGCTGTCAACTGATGCCTCAAGGACGTGACTAATCCAGGACACAGCAGAGCACTGGACAGCCCCATTACACCCGAGTGCTGCCCTGCACCCCCTTCTGCTCCTGCTGTCACACACATCAGCAGATCCATGGGGTTCAGGACAGTTTGAGAAGGAGCAGCAATGCGGGTTTGTGCAGCAGTGACTGCACACATTCTGATTTCTGTGACTTGTGTAAATGAAATATCACCAACAAATCAGTTTCTATTTAAAGCTAATGGTGTTTATAAAAGTCTCTTGATTCTTCTTGGAACCATATTTCTTATAAGTACTCGTGATGTTTACTTTGGAAGTGTATGTACCAATAACCATACTCACATAAAATGCTCTCTAAAACAGAATTCAATAGCCACACTTTGAACTACACAAACCCTGCTCTAAACCTCACAGTTTGCTTGACAAAAAGCCTTATAAAAAACCTGAGCTTCATCTTAAGGCTTATATTCTGTGCTTTTGCACTATAGCACAGATGTTGTACTATATAGGAATTTCTGTTACTACTGCTGTTGTGTTTTGATAATTTAATCTTTACTATCCATTACAGAAGCATTCCTAAGGCTAAGCAACAAGGAGAGTGAGACTGCACTGAACCAAGCCTGCCAGCCTGCATTATTACAGACAACCTGTAATTTTCACTACCCACTCCAACCCACTTTGAAAATTTATTCCATTTTTTATCAACCTTGTACTATGAGATTCAAAATGCAGACAATTTAAATGCAGTTCTTAATCTGCTCTAGTCTGTATTAATTTCTGGTTTTCCAATGCCTGTTTCAAGTGTTTTTCCTTCCCTTGCCTTTATATCCAAGAGCTACACCAGGAGGGGCAGGTGAGTTGCAAGGACAACATGGAAATATGTGAACACAGATAAACAGCAGGGAAAATTCACATCACAGGGCTGTTAAAGCATAACTTGTTTCTTGTAGGTGTCTGTCGTTACAAAGCACTGCTGGGTTTAGTGAGACTCTTAACCAAGGTTCTATAGTGGCCTTAGCATCTAAACCTGCCTTCATTGATCCAAAAGAGCTGAGTGATAGGAATGCTCCAGTCATCAAAAGAAGGGACAACTGGAGCATTTCCAGTTGCTTCTAATTCACTGTTTCAGCTCAGACACAGCCCCCTGCAGCTCTTTAACACAGGACAGGAGGGCAGGAACTGCCCTGTAACAGAAGTCCCAGCTTGTCTTGTGGAGAAGCATTAAAGCAAGCATGATCCAGCTCTCCCTGGTATAATACTAAATCCCTTTTGGTTTAATACCACATCAGTTAAAGCCATTTAACAGGATACCTGTAAGAGTAACAAACAGTTTCTTCTTAAAAGAGAGAAGTCACCTTTCAGATTAACATTCTTTTAAAGCACAGATTCAAAATCTTAACTGAGCAACTATACAGACTATGTACCTTAAAATGTATTAGCACCTTTATGAGCTACAGACTCAAAGCTACATAAACTCGTCCAGAACAACTCCACTAGCTATGTTATCCTGAAGCATATTACTGAACTACTGTGCTTTCCAAACACCCAACTGACCCCTAGAAAGCAAATGTGTATTCTCATCTGCACCACACACTGCAAGAAAACAGGTTCAGTGAGTCTAGGCAAGAACTGTGATGAAAAAAAAGATAAAAAACTCCAGAGATATCTCAACTCACTGTCTATCTTTGAAAACCTTGTCTTACCAAAGACAGATTTCTAATTAGAAGCTTTTAACACGGGTCTCTTCCAGTGTATTACTACTGCAAACACCATAGCACAAATCCCATTCAGTTTGCCTGCAAACACAGCTGGGATGATCACTATCCGAGTGTTAGAGAGCAACGATGCAAATTCATGAAGCAATGGGGTGAGTTCAGCTGCACCAGCTCAGAGTACGAAGCATTTGAGACAAAACCCTGTGCAAGGAAACACAGCATGGCTTCAAATACACAAAAGGCTTTTAGAGCTGCAGGCAGTGAGGCACAAGAGCAGCCCTTCCGAGTCAACTCTACCCTGCTGCCAAACACGCAAATAAACAGTACGGTAAGGGTATCCAAAACACTGGGCATCAAAAGGGCAGAAAAGGAACTTCCAAGATAATGACAATGGAAGGCTATTTTAAAGTTAATAGACCCGTCATTTCAACTGTCTTTAAACACTCTGCACAATTACCTATCGCTGACCTTTTGTAAGCATTTGCTCAGTAGCCCACGTTGTTAACTCCGTGCTTTATGCGCATTGAGGTATTTGAAGAATTCTCCAAACATGAACCGTCCTGGAGCCCAAGGACGTCCCAGGCTGTCAGGGCGGACTCAGCCGCGGTCAGCCCCGCACACAGCAGCTGTCCCACGGTCACAGACAGCACTTGGCGCCTTTAAACAGCGTAGGCACCAAATTATCCGCACTGTCGTGGGACCATAAATGCACGAAACGCCAATTTTCAGGTGCGAGCGCAGCATTGCCGCCCAATACCACAAATTAGGTTATTTTTTTGCCCGCCGGCCTTTCGCAGGCTCTTACCACCCCAGAGATCATCATTTTCCGCAATTAAAAACGCCCTTCTCGCGCTTCCCGCCGCAGGCGGCGCTGAGGCAGCTTCCCACCGCCGCCGGGCCGGGCCCCGCACCGCGACGGGACCTACCGGCTTAGGAGAGCCCAGATCCGCAGCTCAGCCCGGAACGGAGCGATCCCACAACCCCAATACCCCCTTCCAGCTGCCGCCTCGCTGAGGGAACGCAGGCGGTGGGAGGAGAAGCCGCCCCGCTGAGGGGAGGGAGGAGGCGGGAGCCGGGCAGCGGGGCCGCCCCTCACCGCCCGCGGGCCCAGCAAGGCGCCGCCTCCCGCTCCCTCCGCGGCACCGCGGGCGCCCCTCACAGCGCCGGGAGCCTGCCAGATACTTAATTCCTGTGAAAAAAACGATAAAAATCTGAGCAGAACCCCCAGCTAACACCGTTAGCTGTTACCTACTGGGGAATCCCGGGGCGAGTGGGGACAGGAAGGACAGCGGGTGTGCAGGTCTCCACAGGTCAGCCGCCCACATTTGCTTTCATTTCTGTGTCCCCGTTGGGAACCGGAACTTTGTTGGAGCTGAAAGGAGGGGGTGTCCTGGGGCAGGTGCTCCCATGGGACGCAGCCACTGCACGGCAGACCCCGAAGATCCCAGCCCCGAGGGAAGGCACAGGGAGCAGACGTGGGCACGGGGCCTGCCTGCACTTCAGGTTGGTCTTTTCAGCTGAATTAAATTGCGCTATTGCACATTTCCCCGTAAGAAATGACAGTATTATGCACCAGGTTTCACGTTCTAAAGACCACGTTTCCTCAAAGCACCCACATTTGCATTTTTCCTAAAACACTGGCTTTCTGGGTTGAAAATGCTCATGTTTAAGCTTTTCCTCAA